AATTTCTCATAATTAAAGCCGAACTATTATGCAAAATACTCTTTAGAGTTGTTTCCCCTCACAGTTTCCCATCTCGAAGTTGTATTTGGAGTGATTCGTACATGTTTGAGCAATCTTTATCTCAAGACATAACATTACTGATCAACTCCTGTTTTTATCATTGTTTTATTCTTACTTCATTGTCTAATTTTATTTTCTTAATCGGGGATATGTGTAGTATTTGGCAGAGTCATATAGTCATTAGCGGACTTGTATCTTTTATCAAGTCATTTTAGATCAATATTGAGATTTAAAACGTGCAAATTATATCATAAACATCTACGGGTGTCATAGTTTATAACTACATAGACACAAGCACAATATTCTTCTTTAAAATAAAAGTATATATTGTTTGGTTGACTAAAACTATTATAGACTTATTGACTAACATCAGCCCATTTAAATTTTCCGAGATTGTTACGTCATAGATCACAAACAGCCCTCACTAGACTGGTCCTGAGCATTTCCAGCACCAAACTCATTTCAAATGCTTGGTTTTATTAGCAGAGCATTTAATTTATGTATTTTTTCATTGTTCATTGCTACCGTTGACAGTAAAGGGCACTTTAAAGTGTGTTTTCCAAGTGTAGACATTATGTTAATATCGAAATACTACGGCCAAGGTGACCAAACACATGTCCAAACACATGTTTAAAAGCTAATTAAAGCCACAATAATGTTTGATGTCCACTTTAAATGATCCATACAAACTAGGGATGTTACAAAAAATATGGTGATATCATGCTGTCAAAAATCTCACAGTAATATCGAGGGCCATCACAATATATCGCATTGCAACTCATTTTGATTTTAATTCATATTTTGGTGCAGCGTGAGCTAAACAAACAGAATGGACTACATATACCATGATCCTTTGCGCCGTTTCAGTGTTATTAAGCTCTTTTAAATCTTAATTCTTTGGATTATGGCAGAATTAATGTCTCGTCAGGACGTTTTAAAAGGAGAAAGTTGCATATTCACAATGTGGTTAACTTCCACAAAATATCTCAGTAAATATGGTACAGTGAAAAATCATGAAAATATCGTACAGACAGACACGTACAGATTTGGATATTGTTACATTCTTAAACGTGCACAGTGTAACTTTTCTGGTGGAGAGTCCATCAGATGCTTTGCTTTGCTTTGCCTGGAATGTTCCATAGTACTGGCATTAATACTTAATACATTAAGTTACAGGTCAGATCTGTAGAGAGGCGACCCCTGTCACAGTCAGGATGCTTGTTTTTCTGGGTGTTTTTGAGCTGTTATACGACCTGTAATTTAATAAATGTAAGTAGGGCTGTTTAATGTCATACTGTGGAACATTCCAGGCAGAGCAATGGCATATCCACAGAAACAAGCATCCAAAAAGTTAGTACACCTTTAATACAAACCAGACTTGTTGTGCATCTAATACAATTACACATCTGAATTGCTGTTTTGTTTCATTCACACACATTAAGCAATTAGTCTTTTATTTTCTACATTAGTGACAGAGGAAATACCAAAGCTAAAAGTATACTTTAAATAGCAACAACAGCATAATATATGTTTTAGTTTAGTTTCTCTTTACCAGAGCTAAGAATGTAATCCTCCTTCAATATTAGTAAGGTATCACTCTTCTTTCTCCTCTTCCCGTGTCTATGAGTCACAGTTAATGTGTGACATGAAAGCAAAGTGCTAATTAAAATGCTACGATGGTGTAACCTTGAGATTTTTGTGTTTAAGCTCCTTGCTCCGACAAAAAAAGTGCCAAATTAAATCAGGTCTGGAGCAAGTGACACGCTGTGAGAGACAAGCTCAATATGTATGATTTATCTACTTAGACAAATGAAATCACTGTCAGCTTATTTGGCCCAAAAAGGTTTCCGCATCTCCTCCTTGGGACTAAATGCAATTTGGGTCAATTCTGATTTCGTCAAAGTTTTTTTTTGTCCTTTCCCCCGAGGTCCAACGGGAGAAATCGGTTGGCTTCTGGTCATCAGGAAGTGTCATTCACAATCTATTTTCCCATCATGCATTTAGCAACGATTTAGTCTGGTTTAGAGTAAGAGAAGGATTAGTCAACAATGCGGTCGTCAAGGCAACTGTCAACGCAGCTTAGGTTTAACAGGAAGGAGAATAGTTAAAGGTCCTGCATTACGCAAAGTTGACGCGTGTGAGTTTTGAGCCATGTTATAATGTCGTTACCACATCAAAAACATAACTGGAGTTGTGTTTTGTTTCATTTATACATGTTATGTTTGATTAATTGTTTATTATCAGCCTGATTCATCAGCTGGTTTCACTCTGTGGAAACCGTCTGACCTCGCAGCATTAGAATTTGTTCGCTTGACGATAGGCGGGTACTTTATTTATTTAACCAATCACTGCCGTTTGGTCGTGACATATATAATGCACCACTAACAGGGCTAACTAGTATATTAAGCTTTTCCCAAATCCCATAGGAAGAAGATCAATAACGTCTTTCCCCTTGATAAACTTCACCAAATATTGTCTTTGTTCCGGCTTTAAATCCTCGATCTCGGGAATCTTTGCCACCACGTAATGTCTGGCTTTGTCTACATCCATCTCGACCGCTTTGTTTACTGTTGTGCTGTACCACAAAAAGGTCATGGTTTCACAGCTCTTCACTGATTGGCCGGTGTGCAGTCTACAACTTCTAGGGTTCTTGCAAACCATCTAGTGTATTCTGATTCCTGACCTAGTAGCTGGAGAGAAATGAAATTGAGTGGAGGCACTAGGTGGCATCAGCCTGGCTATGTCTACATCTCCAAAGCTCAAAATTCTCTGTTCTACCTTGTGATGTCATGTAGTGGTAGTTTTTAAGTTAACATCTCCTTTTATCTTTAGTTCAGCAGAGATTGGCAATTCCAGGGCTGAAATCATCCAAATGATTCTAATGAAGATGTATGGAGTTTAAAAACACCGTGGAGCACTTCCTGCATGATATCACAAGGTGGAACAGAGTGTTTTCTGTTTGCGAGAAGAACTCCGCCTAAATATGGAGGGTTTGTACATTAAAGGTGCATTGTGTAACTTTTCTGTTGGAGTTTCCATCACCTTTTGTTCTCCGTGGAGATGTTACTCCTTTGTCTGAGTTGTTTTGCAGTATTACATTAAAACTTTCTATCATCATAGAGACCAAACCAGACCAAGTTACAGGTCAGATCTGTGGAGAGGCGACCACAATCACAGTCAGAATACCTGTTTTTCTGGGTATTTTTTAGCAATAACACCACCTGTAATTGAATAAATGTAAAGTAGAGCTGTTTAATGTCATACTGTGGAACATTCCAAGCAGAGCAATGACATTTTCATGGAAACAAGAAGGTGGTGGACCTCCTACCGAAAAAAGTGTGATGAGGAAATAACATTATAACAGAGATCGGAAAATGGGGACCTTTATGGGTAAGATTAGAGCGCATTGTAAAAGCAAATTAAGGTTAGAATTTTTTATAGTTTGTGCGGCAACGCGATTTTAGCCTAAATTAAGTTATACCAATCAATAGTGACAAAGGTTTTCTCCCCCTGGGTTTTAAATATGCAAAACGCAGCATTACTCAGCATTTGGTGGTAAACAAACGGCTGCCAACCCCCGTGTCACTTTCTCAAGGTTGTGCCAGGATTTACTTTCAGGCAGAATTAGTGGCAGGGTTCAGTTTCCATACAAGAGATGCACTGAGTCAACCGGTTCAGATGTTGTTAGATAAAAAACGAAGTAACATTCAAAAATACCTGGTTAATATTGAAAATAAATTTCAATAAAAACTTATAAAAACGTATAGAGCCCATATTATACGTTATTTCCTGATTTATGCTATAATTTTAAAGTTCCCTCATCAAAAACAAACCTGGAGTTGTGTTTTGTTTCATTCACACATGTTTAACACACAAATCCTGCATATTTAGGCTGAGTTCTTCTCTCAAACAGAAAATACAGGAAGTGCTCCACTGTGTTTTTAAACTTCAAACACCTTCACGAGGATCATTTGGATCATTTCAACCCAGGAATTGCTCATCTCTACTGAACTAAAGGTAAAATGTAGCTGGTAACTTGAAAACTACCACTATACATGACATTGCAAAGAATACATTTCGCAGCTTGGATGACAGAAACAATACCTGGACGACTGAGGGATTACACAAACAACTACATGACATCATAAAGTGGGACAGTGCATTTTGAGCTTTGGAGATGTAGACAGACTAATAATAAAGGATTCCTCAAACATGTGTGAATGAAATAAAACACAACTCCAGGTATGTTTTTTCGTGAGGTAACTACGTTATGACATGGCTTAAAGCTCACAAGAGTCAACTTTCCACTCACCTTATGGTTTGGTATTATAGTTTTTTTTTTGTTTTTTTTAAATAAATAAATACTGTCAGTGCATTTATTGTCATCTCTTTTAAACAAAAGGTGCATACGTTCTGAGATAATAATAATAGCCTAATGAAAACTTAACACAGGCATGCCCAAACTACGGCCCGTGGGCCAAATGCAGCCCTCAGACAAATTTTTCTTGGCCCTACATCATTTAAAAATTTACTTCTTACTGCAAGTTTATGGGAAATCTACCTTGATAAAGCGAATATTTAATATTTAGTGTGTGGTTTTAAGGTTTTTAGCATGAGCCATCAGTGTTTATTCATGCTATTTGTGTTAAACATGCAGATATTTCAATTATTCACTGTATTGATTGATTGATTGATAGCATTTATATAGCGCCTTTCAAGATACCCAAAGCGCTTTACAGTTCATTATTCAGTCACTCCACACTCAGCTACTACTGTAGCCACAGCTGCCCTGGGGCAGACTGACGGAAGCAAGGCTGCCAATCTGCGCCATCGGCCCCTCCGACCACTACCATCACTCACGCTCACACCACTTTCATACTAGGCAATGTGGGTGAAGTGTCTTGCCTAAGGACACAACTACAGTTTTTGCCACTGGCGCCCCCCTGTGGCACCTGGAATTCCCTAGCGGTCTCCCATCCAAGTACTACCCAGGCCCAGCCTGCTTAGCTTCTGAGATCTGACGAGATCAGGCTTTTACAAGCCGGTATGGCCACATGGTATTGAGCACCAGTCTCTTCTTCTTCTCCTATGTTTAGATATGTGGCCCTTGATGAAAAAAGTTTGGACACCCCTGACTTAGTAGAATGCTGTAGCTACTTGAAAGAGATATTAAAATTCCAAAAATGTCATAGAATTTACAAAATTCCATTTTCCCGGCCTGGAAAATGACATTTTCAATTTACAATAACTTTTCCAGGATGACTGTGGGAACCTTGTTATTTAGTTTTCGATTTAGTTCCAGAACTGGGGCCTAGTTGGTCACTGTTGAGTTCCAGGAATACAACAATAAAAACACTTAAGAACTTCACTCCATAATTATGAACCAACATTTACGTTTCCCAGTGGTCCTCACAAACCCCTGCATAAGCACCGTAACATTTGCTGCACTTCAGGGTCGCTGGTTAATAATGTTAGCCACAGTGAGACATTTGTACTTGAAGTGAATGCTCTTTGCAACATATAATCTCATGCTTTGTTGCTATGTGCGCATTTGTCACCTATGGGCACTTAGCGATACACTTTGACCTTCTATTCACTTGTGTCATTATAGAACCTTTTATTCAACTACATTGACAACACCTAGAACGAAAACTGCTAATAGCGCTATTAAAATGCTCCCGCTATTCATTCTGGGCTCCGCTGCCTCTTTAAGCCCCTCTCATCATTTCCTGACGCCCTGCTCTGAATGATAACAATGACAAATGCGCTTACTTCCATTCTGGTCGCCATCACCTCCGAATCCATAGTCATTTTCTCAGCAAAAAGGATATCCGCGCTAGCTAAGTGAGTGATTTATGAACTTGTCCATGCAGCGTTAAATACAGAAAACACAAAAGAAGGACTCGGATAAGGCCCATTATCTCGTGTAATGCTAGCTTTTGTTTGGGCGGCCGTGCCAAAGCCAATGCTACGATTTAAGCCAAAATTGAAAAGTTGTTGAGATGTTTGTTGGTGAAATATTTTGGGGAAAGATTGTGAGAAGATAAATATTAGGAGTTGAAGATGAGTTAGGTCTGTATGAATCGAATCTGATCCAGATGTTTTAAATTGTCAGTGATAAGTTTGTGTCTTTTTACAGCCAATCCTCTTTTACTGCATCCACGTGGTTTAGATTTAGACAAACTTTACTGAGCCACAAGGGAAGTTATTTAGATACAATAGCTTACACATCACAATATATTACAGTATAATAACAAAGAGCAAAAATATAAATGGTAATATTAAATTCAAAATAAGTAGCAAAATAGTAGGCTAAGTTTAGTTAGTGTTCAGAGTTTTGGAGGAAACTATTATATTATTAAAAACCCTTTCTACATAAGTACTGTAGACTGTATATTTACAATGACATAGTTAAGATGATAGCTGGAGCAATCCAAATAGGAAGTGAGCATGGACACACTTTTGGCTCCATCGACTCTGGCTCCAATTGGGTTACATGCTGCCATTCCGACATACCGCCACTCTGACATTGACATCTAATTGTCAGAGTGGCGGTATTTCCATTTTTTATCAAACATCAATACACTCCGAGATTTTTTTTTCCTTGGTCGTAGTGGTGGTACTTTAGCTTTTTTTCCAACATTCCACCATTCTGACAAACAGGGTAATTATTAAATTGCGGAGGAGCTCATTTCAGGACAATATTTTCATGGAGTGAGTCACGGAGTCACAGTGCGCAGGGTGCATGGAAGGAGGCGCGGTGCAAGCGGCATATGGGAGGAGACGCTGTCCGCGCAGCATGGATTAGTCCTGTTAAATCCTGGTTTAGACCAGATTTTAGACCTGGTTTTAGACCTTTTTTAGTCCTGATTTTAGTCCTGTTTTTGGTCCTGGTTTAGTCCTGGTTTAGCCCTGGTTTAGCCCTGGTATAGTTCTGGTTTAAACCTGGTTTAAACTTGGTTTTAGTCCTGATTTTAGACCTGGTTTAGACCTGGTTTAGACCTTGTTTTAATCCTGGTTTAGTTATGGTTTTAGTTCCGGTTTAGTCCTGGTTTTAGTTCTAGTTTAGTGGTGCGGCCTGCGCTGTGCACGGGAGGAGGCGTGGTCCAAGGCAAATACAAGGCAAAAACGATGATGCTCCAAGCTATGAGTAGGAATGAGACAGAATGGCGACATCAAAAAGTGTCGGAATGGGAGCATATCAGAAAGGAGGGTTGTTGGAATGGAGGTTTGTCAGAATAAGGGTTGTACCCCCTCCAGTTGACTTTACATTGAAAAATTGTCACCCCTCTCTCTGTAACTGCTGCAGGGAGCCTCATGCGTTTTGTCATTTCGGTATTAAAATGTTCATATTAAGCCGCTCTACATGGTCCTGGTGTTTTTCTTTCACTATTCAAACTCAGCTCCAAATTCGCTCCTAAAATCGCTGGCATCGTGAACTTCATTCAACTGGAGCAGAAAGCTATGTTTCACACTGCCTTAGTCCAGTTCTTTATAAAGTCTATGGTAAGTACGCATTAAAACAAGTACTTACTTCAGGATAGACAAATTCTGAATCTCATAATTTTCGCAAAAAGCAGGGAAAAGAATGGCCAGTCCACAGATTTGATTTAGGTAAATTTGTATTGTAAATTCCTAAAGTAAAGTACAAATGAATAGCTAGATCCTTGAAGGCAGTATGTTCTTCCTAGCAGTTCTGGAGAGGCTTTCCACAGTCACACTCTCTCTCTCTCTCTCTCTCTTTCTTTCTATCTCCTCTCTCTCTTCCTCTGTACGTGTGTGTGTACATGTGCGTGCGTGTGTGCGTGTGTGTAATGTGGAACGCCTTGCCAGGAAAATGCAGTTCTCTCCACCACCTGTTCCTCGTGCTCCTCCACCACACACTGGCGGCCCAGCATCAAAGCTTATGTTTAGTCACAGTGAGCGCTTCAGAGCAGAGAGCGCGAACAACGGCACGCAAGAGGAACGCTGGAAGAATCCTGTCTGTAGAGTTAACACACGCCCTTTAAAGTGGTGCAAGTTGGGGAGTATAGAAAGAAACCAGGAATAAACATTGGAGGTCTTCTAAAATAAGATTATGAAGAACTTTGGAAGCTGAATCAGAGAGTGTGAAATTTGTCCGTACGGTGTTAGGCCTGTCTAGATAACCACTATATCAATAAATGTATCAATAAAAGAAAAGATGCAACAATCATTCTGGGGCTCTTTTTGTAGTTTACCAATATTTGAGATGTAGGGGATAAATTATTTGACATCAGTAATGACACTAACTCACTACTTGCCTGTTTCATTCAGCCATTTATTGCAGCTCCTGTTTTGTTTTGATATGTTTTTTTTAATCATGGTCATGGTGGCTCATGGTTTAAAAAAATGGGTTCATAGTTTCAATATTATCATTTATTGTGGAATTATCTGGAGTAATATATTGTGATTGCATTCCCTATTGGGTATGTTTGGATAATGGCGTGTAATTGTATGTATTCGCTTTTTAATTGTATTTATTTATGGATTGTGCGCGACCAGAGATGTGCGAAATGAATTGCCCTTTAGGATTAATAAAGTTTTTGATTGACTGATTGATAATATTATATCTTTTGTCACAGTCAGATGTCCTTCCTGATATTTTGGTTTTATATCAACAGATATCGATACAAACTCAGAAAGATCTCTCAAAGTGGGAATAGAACCTAGCAACATCTCACTGAACAAGAGTATACCTACGGCACCAAATAACCCTTAAGTATTGGATAAATAATGTACAAGTATGGTTAGGATGTCACTTTTTGATGCTCGATTAAATATACATTGCAAAACGTCTTGAGGAGGGCCCGCTACCTGCTTGTCTTCGCAGATGTCATTGTATTGTCTGGAATCTCCATAGAAATGTCTCCAAGACACAAATTACTATCTGTAGAGAAAGCAACCACAGTTTCAGAAAGAATGTGTTTTTAAGTGTTTTTGATGGACAAAAACTCCCTTTGGTGAAAAGAAAAAAAAATATATATATATTTCTGACTGAAGATAAGGTAATAACATCTCCACTTTTAGATAAATTCCACTTCTGAGTTGTACTGAGGGTCCTTGTAGGGAGTATTATACCTCTGATGATGCAGGGCAACATACGGCTGCATCATCAAAGGTGTAATACTCCCTACAGCAGAAGTATAGCCAATAGCATCACTGGACTGTACTAATCCACTTTATTTATACAGCACAATACAGATAAAATCAATAATAATAGTAGTAATAATAGTAATAATAAAAATACCAATAAATAAACAGGTAAAAAAATAATAATAAAATAAATAAAAGACATGGACTGGAACGGTCCAAAATTATCATCAGGGTTCATTTCTTTCTTCTTGTTGGGGCCTGTACTCTTGGTAAATAAACTAAAATATGTTCTACAACAGCGACAAGGAGGGGGCGGACCCCTCACCAAAAAAGTTACGCGATGTACCTTTATTGTACACTTTGAGCTTTGTAAAGTTGTCAATCCTTTCACTCCGTAGCTCAGCCAGCCTTCACATGGACAAACCCTGGTTATCATGGAGCGATAGCATGTGCCTCTAGTTCCCAGTGCACTCTCTCTGTTCTATTGTGAGCCTGTGTATGATAAGAGCTGTGGAGGGGAGCACAGAGGCTGCCAATCTGTCTGTGGGAGGCAGAAGGTCCAAGATCAGATCAGTGAGTACCAGCTGGCTCCAGCAGGGGGGGCTCTGTGCTGCTGATAAGAACCAGTCTGACCCCAATCCCCCAATCAGAGCGTCCTGTGGTCCGCACGAGTCAACAAAGCTGTGCTCCTGTCAATCTGCCGACAACCACAAGCCCAAAAGTTAACAGAGTCTAAACCATAAAGAATGCTTTCACAAATTCACACATTAAGTCTGGTTCAACTAGTGAAGTATCTACAGACAGTTTCTCCTGCTGGACATTCTATACACGTTTTATATTTTGTACATGGTGCTTTAGCAAAAGAAAAACATGCTTTTTGTATCGAAAAACTGATACAAATAGATACTACTACTACCACTATTACTTACTACTACTACCACTAC